CTATTATATGTCTGGCAGAACATTGGAAGTAAATGTAAAATTTATTTTACGTTCAGAAATATGGAAATAAATCCACGTCTTCCATTTGCAACTTAACCAGGGGCAGTCTGGGAACCAACAAGGGGGGGCCCAAATTTCAGGTCAGAGAAAAAAACTTCTGCACATGCGCGGAAAATATTTTGGGCCCCTAAAACCCAAAAGTGGGCCCAAATTTTGAAATTTTGAGGCCCATTTTCTTCAAAATTTGGCCTTAAGGGTCTTAAGGCCTTTTTTACACGGGGGGGGCAGGGCAGGCCCCAACCCCCAGATCCGCTAATGTTAACTGTACCCTGTTTCCCTTTTAAACGTGGTCACGTGGTAGCTAGGTAGTGTGATAATAGGTGATTATCCTCTCCGTACACATTTTTATTTCTATTCGGTGTCAAATACAAATACAGTGTATGGGTGCTTGTTGGCTTAGTTTTCAAAATATCATGAATTCAAATCACAAGAAGCGTTGACCCAAGCGTTCATGATCATTTGGTTATCAACGCATCCGACCTTCCCTTTGGTCAAGTCAGAAACCGGCATTAATTATCCTTAAATGTCGCATGTATTGGTTACTATAGTATGTGTACTCTAGACTAGGAAGGAAATGGTACCATAGCCTAATTGAAATAAACCATTGCTTGTTATAAACTGATAGCTAGTCTCTACTTTAGAATGTTGTTGAAAACATTACCAATTCGCTATTTGGGTTTTTTAATTCTATAAAAATGAAATAAAACACAGACATTACATTTATAAACATGTCAAGATTAGTATCACGCCTGGTGATCGTGAAAATGGGACGGAGGGGGAGCAGGCAATTTCCGCTAGAAAATTCAACAAATCTGGTAAAATTATTTTTTCAAGACAGAGTTTACGATTGAATTGCAAATTGAATAAGCGCACGGTATGATAAAATATGTTAGGTATTCTAGGATTTTTTTTCAACCGATACTCTTTTAAGATATAAGATCTATTAAAAAAGGCGCAACGCAACCAACGTGCAAAAGTCAAAGTTTTTGCTATAAATCAAGCAACAATGGACTACACGACCTGTAATAAATACTTGTAAGTGATGTTATCATAACTAAATTAATGTCATTGCTAAATTTATAAAATAAGTTTCCATACGTAAAATAAAAAATAATCGAAAATTATTAGAATGGGGCGGAGGGGGGGAGGGGACGGAGGGGGGGAAGTAATAATTCTATAAAGTGAAACAACTTCACACGAATTCTTGTATATGTATTTGAAAAATGAACTCATTAACTTAGTAAGAAACTGGATGATATACCCCTGGAGACTGAAAAATGGGGACATTTGGAGTAAAAGGACTTAAAGTCGCGAAACATCTCTAATCATGTCTTATATACATATTGCTCCCCCCCCCCCTCCGTCCCCTCCCCCCTCCGTCCCAAATTCATTATTTTCGATTATTTTTTATTTCACATATGGAAACTTATTTTATAAATTCAGCAATGACATTAATTTAGTTATGATAACATCACTTACAAGTATTTATTACAGGTCGTCCAGACCATTGTTGCTTGATTTATAGCAAAAACGTTGATTTGTGCCTGTTGATGGCCTTGCGCCTTTTTTAATAGATCTCATACCTTAGATGCGTATCGTTTCAGAAAAAATCCCAGAAAACCTAACATATTCTACCATACCGTGCGCCTATTCATTTAGCAATTCAATTGTAAACTTTTTCTTGAAAAAATAAATCTTCCAGATTTGTTGAATTTCCTAGCAGAAATTGCCTGCTCCCCCCCCCCCTCCGTCCCATATTCACGATCGCCGGGCGTGAGTATTATGAAACTCAAAAATACTAGTAAGCAGAAAGTGATTATCCAAATTTCAAGGGGCAAAATAATATACAACTTAGGATATACTATCTTGTGATATTTTTGCATATGACCAACAATTTAGTCGCATTTATAAGCCATAAAAAGAACGAATAAAAAAGAACGGTTTTAATGGCTTTAAAGAAACTTGGGCATTCAATGACTGGCGATAGCAAGGTGCACATATACACTGTTGCTCATAAATATGGAATATTAGATTTGGCAGCTCAGAATTCAACTTTTGGAGTAAAAGAACATTTATTTGGAGTCAGTTCAGACATTTATTTTCTAGGCAAATCATAACCACATATTTCATCTACAAATCAACATTTTTTAGAGAAAACATATTTACATTTAAGTTTAGAAAATTACTGTTATTCAAACAGGGGTACGCTGAGAATTTTTCATTTTCAAAACACCCCGATCCAAATCAATTCAATTTCAATTCAATTCAATTTATCTATTTCATAATTCTTATAAAATATACAATATAAAAACAGACCGCTGGACACCCTAGTGGGTATACGTTGCGGTTTAACAGAAATTTTTAAAATGACATCTAGACTACATATAAAAGAAAGCACTTATATTATGTTACATGTAGGTATATAAAATGTTATTAACAATTACTTAAAGGATGTACAATGTAGAAATGTTACAAAAAATCGGGTACCAGTAAAAAATACAGTATAAAATTGGTATTATACATTACGATAGATGAGTAGTTTTTTATATGAAGGTTTAAAAATATTTAGAGTGGAGCATTTTTTAATATCATCTGGTAGAGCATTCCAAATATTTGGACCTAGATAGCGAAGGGAAAATTTAGAGCATTTAGGGATATGAAAATAATGCAACTGTCTTGTGAAATGATGATGGACATTAATGTTGATATCAAACAAGTCTTGAAATAGATTTTTTGGAAGACTGGGGTGTTTATCAAAGATTTTATACATGAACTGACCAGTACAATATTTGTTAACATCAAAAATATTTAATATTTTAAGATCTTTAAATAGGTGAGTGGAGTGAGAAAGTCTATCCTTATTTAAAGCTAGTCTTAAGAATTGTTTCTGCAGTTTATGTAGACAATCATAAAATGATTTAAATGTGTTACCCCAGATTATGTTGCAATAATTTAATTGAGAGTGTATCAATGAGTAGTAAATTGTTTTGAAACTGTCTATTTGAAGGAGATGTTTAATGTGATAAAGAGAACCAATAACGCGAGAAATCTTTGTTTCAGCAGATTTTATGTGCTCTTTAAATTTCAGGTTTTTATCAATAATAATTCAAAGAAAGTCTATTTTTCCCGGAAATTTATGTTCTCATTGCGTATCTTAAGATTCAGATTTGTTTGATTTCTTTTGGGTCCAAATAGAATAGCATTGGTGTTGCCAATATTAAGTGAAAGTTTGTTTGTTTTTATCCAGTCATCTATTGAATTCAAGTTTGCATTAGTTCTAGTCATACGTTCATTTAAATTATAATCACTATCAAGAAGATTGGTGTCATCAGCAAACATAATAAATTTTAGATTAGGGGCAACAATAAGCAGATCATTTATGTAAAGAATAAATAATAGCGGTCCAAGTACCGAGCCCTGCGGAACACCACAATTTAGAGATCGTCTAAAAAACAGAACAAACAAAATAAACATCTGGTTATGAAGATTGAAGTGTCCTCTATCCAATGATAGCACTAATATGCGTTATGAACTCTTTGTGCTGCAATCAGAGCATCAACCCTACGGGACCAGCATTGAATGAAACATCTGACCTTTCGAAGTGAAATAAGGCCCCATTCCTCAGTCTGGGCAGTGCGTAACGTGTCTAAATTTTCAGGTGGGGTCCAAGTCACGAATCTCATTACCAAGGTTGTCCCAAATTTGCTCTGCATTTAGCCTAATTGGCTGACTTTTGTGCCCATGGTAGCTGGTCCACATTGCCTGCCCTGATGTAATCTAACACGATGCTACTAGCATATGACACAGCATGACCATTGTGCAGTTGAATGTTGCCCCCCAAGCACCCTGTTTACATGTGGTACTTGATAGAGGTCCAAAAGGTCAATTTACTTTGAAATTATGTTTGGGAATCACCAAGGGGGTGCAACTTCTGTAGTACTGCTCCAAACAACCTCTGTAATACTGCTTCAAACATAAATATGGACGCCTTCATGGACTGCCACATCAGTAAGTGTCCTTATTATTTCTTTCCCCTGGTCTACGACAGAAACGAACACAATTATCAACTTTGTGGAGGACACATCTTATTTCCTCACATGCTGTCATATGAGATCAAAGATTAGGTCCAACGTTTTGCTGCTTTCCTGCCCACTGAAGGCACCTTTCTTTGTTATGATCAGTCAGCTGTGGTCTCATTTCATGGCATTGTATCTGTTCTAAAGTAATCACTGGTTGTCTATAGCTCTGGAACACGGGTTTTTAGGTGAGACAGCCATTAATCTCGTAGATTACTGGTTGACATAAAGCGATTTTGATGACATTAATACAGAAGGTGATGGTCTTTTCTTTCTTTTTCTCTTTAGGGCTACAATTGCTGTGACTGTGACCTGGAGTCACATTCCAGTGTCTTTGGTACCACTGCAGAATTTTAGAGACTGTTCCTGACATACCCCTAGGATCCTGGCAATGACAGTTTATTTCATGCCAGAGAGCGCCATCCCTATGACCTGCCATGCTCCTTTTCGCTTATTCTATGGGGCATGTCTTCTAAAAAATCTTCCAACTCTAAATTAGATATTTATAAAATGTGCACAATCATTACAACTAAGATTTGGACACCTCTTTCAAGTTACCAATATCATGAGGTCATGGGGTCACCTGAGTGAATACAAGTTTAATCAACCATAAATGTTTTAACTTTTCATACCAATCAGTATTATATGCCAAACTGATGAGAAAATGAGAACACATTACAAATTTTCATCAAAATACTATCATTCTGTAGAAATTCCATCGAACATTTATAAATAAAATATTCCATATTTATGAGCAACAGTGTATTTCATATTTTATTTTTAACAGGTGCTCATCAGTCTGGCCTCGAACATAGTAGCAACGAAACGACAATAAGTTCATTAAACTATAAAACAAATATTTGCTCAGTCTTGAATGTAGTTAGTATTCATATGGTTATTCATCTTCTTGGTTTTTCTACTGTTCATTCGATTATTCCTAATCTTGCCAAAAATCAAATAAATTTCTTGGACAAGAGGGACGATGATAATGAACGCGGCAGCCACGAATGCATACGCCATGGAGAATGTTATCCAGTGGTGGAATTCGTTCTTGTTGAAGACTTTAAAAGGAATCATAGCGCAGGGCCAGACGATGACGAATCCAAAAAATAGACTCAACCCGATAATGATCGCAGTGATCCGAGACCTTCGGAAGCGGGATTTCATTGCTGCGTATGTTGGTCGCACAAACTTTGACGTCAAATCATGAACTGTACCGAAGTCACGTGCATATGTAATTGCCCAGGGGTGAAGCGGGTTTTCTATATTCCTCAGCTTGTTCCATTCTTCTTCCTCGTTGAATTTCTTTCTGTCTAGTGTGCACAATGAAACGACAACGCACACGAATCCACTCAAGCCCAACGAGACGGCACTGCCAACAAGAGTGGGTACATCTTTGCCGGTGTTCTCCAAAGTCACTCCACCTTCGTAAGTGGACGCAATAGACTAGATGCGAGTAGATATAATATTGATTTACGTCATTATAAATTCAAAATTCAGTCAAAGTGATGTCATATTTGAAATCTACATGTAAAAGTACATCTAAATATATGTTTTCGAAAATTGTTTATCAACTTTGAAAATTAAATATTTTTTGAAAATGTGACTTCTAGTTCGGGTTGATTCCCCATAGACCCCATGTTACAAAGTCACAAAAAGTAAAATATCTTTGATTGTATTAAACAGATAACATTTTCCTTGACTGGACACATTATAATTTGCATAACTATTAAAATCATAAGGGTTATATGAAAATTAAACCACTAAAACAGATGTAATCTAAGTTAAAGGGAACTTTCTTCTATACCCGCCATGCTATCTGACCCGAGCGAGCCACCTGGTGGTGAAACTGTTAACTACCTACTCGCACAAGCGTTATTCCCAACCATAAGGTTATGCCACACAGACAGCCAGATAGAACACCTGCCAACCACATAAAATTATTCTAACAAATGGATGTGTCTTCAAACATAAGTTTACAATTGGATTCTGTTGTCATCACTGTATGGATATTTATCCCTTAACACTAAATTCTACTATCTAAGGTTTTGATATTTTTTTCATAGACAGTGCATACCTGATATCATACCAGCAGCCGTTACCTTGCTCCAGAGGACGCTGAGAGCCACGGGGATGGAAAGACCACCTAGCAACACTCCATTGAAATAGAAAAGCCATCCTAGGTTCAATCCAACCCAATTTGAGAACAACACCAGTGGAATCGTGAAAAGCGTAACCCAAAGAATGCACCAATTCTTTAAATTCAGCAGATCATCTTGGTATTGTTGGTACAATCCGTGGACTTTGCATTTATATGGCTTTCTAACTCCGAGGTTAGATTTCTTTAAAGATCTCATTTCTTTGTCTTCTGCACATCCACTGCATTCAACAACTGGTTTGCAGGAGCATGGATTGCTTTTATCATTATCTGTAATTGTATCTATAGCAACATTGCGATCCTCGTAGATATCAGTTGGAGGCCTGGAGGATTTACCACAAAGTATACACTCACTCTCTTTTAAATTCTTTCTGAAGTAAAAAAGACATAGCTATCAATCATGGGTCTATCCCATCATTAAATTAATTAATTATTAAGCCTGCGCAAAATCCTAAATTAGTATTCGCTTCCTGGATATTTTCCATAAGATATGAGACAAACATATCATATCAAACATATCAAACCTGAAGGGATTTATGTATGGCTGATAGACATCATACACAATCAGCGATGCAACAGCAATAACCTCAGCTGACCCTGTTGACATTACCGCCATCAATATGGCAAGGAATAACATGTACTCCCCTGTTCTTCCAAGTACTGCTTGAACAACAACTGGAACCGCCAACCCTAAAAACCACCACTACATATCAGGAAATTAGAACACAGTATATATTATTCTATATTTTCCAACAGAAAGGTGTTACCTTTTAGAAATGGTAAAATTGATTAATCTAATCAGTATTATAATCTCAAGTTGGCAATTCGGACTTCTGCTCTCATTCAAAGTATCATACAAAACCCTTTAAAAACGTTGGGCTCCTAAGACCAAATATTGGGCCTAATTTTTGAAAATTTGGCCTAAGAATTGAAGAATAAGACCCTAAGAGACCAAGTAATGCCCATCCGAGGGGGAGACAGCCATGCCCCCCCCCCTGGTGTCGCCAACGAAGACAATTTTTAACAAAACACAAAGGGCGATCTTGAAAAACTAGAGGGGAAGGGGCACAACAATGTTAGTGTCGATTTCTTGCGCGGAGAAGAAACTGAGCCCAAATTTTGAAAAATATTGCCCAAATTAAAAGCAATGCCCAGAAATGCTCGTTTTTGATCTATATTGCTCAGCTTATGTGTGTGAGGAAGAGGAGATTTTCATTTAAGAAAGCAAAAAGGTGGGTCCACAGTTTAATGAGATATCAGGGGGACGTAATACAGACTGCTTTTGAACGAGGAGACATGGGCTACCCCTGTCCCTCGTGAATCTGTGATTAGTACTTTTGTAACATACATAATCCTATGTCACGGTGCCCATGTCAAGCTGCGCGACTACTTAGGCGCGCAGTTTGTTTCGATCACAAACTGCGTGCCTAAGAACATTGGATCATTTAAGTTGGAGTCTGTATTTTGAAACGTTATTTAAAGACATTTATCCTGCATTGTTTTCTTGTTCAATGCGTTCATTCTGTGGCGAATATACGAATCTTGCAAATACTAGCAAAAACTGTGTGCAAATGAATCTTAGTTCTAAAACATAAGCAGATTAATGGCATTTTCGTCACTGATTTAATGGGAATTTATACGTAAATCGATCTAGCACTTTAAACATAAATGACAAATACTTTAAACTCGTTTTATATTTAATTCCTTACACATTTATCATGTTTAATTCAAAATATTTCGAAATAAAACAGATAATCAGGAGATTAAAAAGAAATAAACCACAAACTGCGCGCCTATTTTAGCCAGAAATTACAATCTGTGCGCATACACTATTAAAACTACATATTATCATTGGAATTTCCACAGAGGTACGTGTAGGTGTTTTCGATGTAGCTTTGGAAATTTTCCTTTATCGTCAGATTTTATGAGATTTTCATATTGAAAGTCAAAATGTATAATAGAAGTGACAATTAAGTTGGGAACGAAAAAAACATTTATTTTCAGATCACCATCTTGGTGGATGGACTCTCATAGTGTTTCAATTATGGGGTTCTACTATTAGACACATATGTGCCTTGTATGGCGCTTATGTTTTCTAATAATACAAAACAAGCTTGGATAGGCAAGCAGTTTTGAAATATTAGGCACGCAGTTTGGGAAATACATAGGATATAGTCCTGAGTAAGGACATTAGCGGTTAGTGATTTGGTTTTCTGAATAAAAAGTCATTTTCTCCTTCCCTACCCCATTGGAGCGCCATCTAGCGTTTGGGAAGTTAATCGGGAATAAATATTTATAGGGTAGGTCCTAATTTATCTGAAAACATGTCAGAGTTCAGTGGGAAATCTCATTTTAAGCTGGCGGCGGAGTGATTTTGACCTTGGTGATTTTACCAGAATTCTCTGAGAAATCTGACGATAGAGGGGGTTAGTGTCTTCAAGTTTATTTATTTCAAAAATTCGGTGGACAACCCATGGTAAGATTGTTATAGCAGGCTAGGCGAGTCTCTCCCGAACACTGTGGTATGTTGCACTAGGCTTGGATACTAATCGTTAATAAGTTACAGGGTAAAATGTTATAATGGCCACCTATGGGAAACTCTACTGTGATCTTCAACCATAGTGAATATAGGCGCGCAGTTTGACAAGAAAAATGTTTAAATCACGTTTATGGTGTATTATCGTTTTGAACACAAACTTTGCTGTTTTAATCAGATGGAGTGATCCTATATATTGTAGCATACACAGACACAATGGCTGAATAAACGGCAAATGACGATAAAAAGACATAGATATAACTTTACACTGTAAATTTTGAACACAGAAGTTACTTAAGACCCTTATATTGAGATAACTAGGTTTACATCGGGAAAAACATTGAGTACTATGAGTAAATTAAGTTCATCTTCACAGAATGGTACTATCTTTAGAACGAGACTAACCTTGTATTTTTCGTATTTTGGCTCTTTTTTGGAGTCGTGTCCTCCCCGTCTCACATTTTGAAATATGCGCGCAGTTTGTCAGAGTTTCAAACTGCGTGCCAAGTAGGCACGCTGCTTGGCATGGGCAATGTGTATGTATAAAAAAATAATCTATAAAAAATTATAAAAATACTCATTCCTTAATGAATTGAATAAATTTTGTATTTGGCATATTTTTGATGTCAAGAGAATCATTTTTCGTCAAATGTATATTTCTGAATGTATACTGAATATTTGAACATCTTGGAACACTAAGTTGTGGGTAACTTGAGATACAAATACAAGTGCAAAGTCAGAGTTTACCCTTTTCGATGTCATTTGAGGAGAGAATGGGAGACCCCTGCCAGCTTTCCATTGCTATGTATGCCAGTCCTACACTTGTTGCAAGCGACAATGGGATGGCGAACCATGTAATACCAGCAGCAATAAACCCCCAGATACCGTGACCAGGTTTTGCCGCTATGCTACTCTGCCAATATGACTGGTCCCCAATCAGTACACCAGAAGCCAATACCAGACCGATGATTCCATACATCAAACCACCAGGGAGAGAAATGTCAGGTAGCTTCCATTGTAGTTACCGTCTGGTCCCGTTGCGTTTTGGATGTATGAATAAATAATGTCTGAATTCCCATATGGTAAATCATTCATTTCTGGTACTTTCAAGAATATTGCAACAGCCATTATAATAACGAAGCAGTATATGAGGACGCTGTTGAAGTAAGATACGTAGAAGGTTGCACCAAGGCCACCGATTAAAGTGTAAGAACCTACAATATAGTATATATTATTTCAAATGAACACATAAATCGATGAGAATCCTCTTAATGAATTTAAATTGTTACACAAATATTTTAGTTACGCGTCATGCATCATAAATCTTTTTGTTCGAAGGCTACCTGTACTTAACCAACCAGTAATGATCAGTCAACAATCAATCAACATATGAAGACTTCCTAGGAAACAATTGTGCGAATTCAACCAGCGCTAGGGAGGAGTCAACATTGAAAGTTGTAATTTGAATCTGTGATAGTTTTAAAAATGGATTTCGTTTAGGAAAGATGAAAATCACCTATTACAGCAGCTAGTATCATGCATGCCAGTTCAATGGAAAGATCCAATGTTAAACTAGTTAAGATAACACTACCAGCCAGCAATAACATCGCTGTGACTACAATGTTAGTAAGACCAGCAAACACAGAGAACACGATGTGGGCTGGAGCACCAAACCTAGCACGGATCACCTAGATGAAACATAATTTTGTTTATTCATACTCCTATTGTTTCTAGTATGTAGCATTCTGATTTATCGCATTGATTACTTCAGTGATTCCATTCTTAAAAATCAGTGGAATTCAGTGGAAATGGCCATATTTCCCTTATTACTTGCAGGAATTCTTTTTTATTTTCACATGTTGTAGAAGAAGGTCTAAAATTTATGTTAGTACCATACATTTTTCTTAGTCTTGAAATTTGCAGAAATTATAAGCCCTCAGGAAGATATATTGTATATCCCTCGGGATATTCCCTGTATCCAAAACCTTCCGGTGCATAACCCCTATGTATCTCCCTCTCACCTCAGATATCAATAATATTCCCGCATGCTATTTACCTATAACACTACTAGGTATGGGATAAATCTAATTAACCTACACTTAGTGTGCTAAATGTATAATAACATAAAAAAAATTGATATCTATTGGCAAAATGAATGACTGGAGGATATCGCCACGATATACTCCGGAAAACCAATATGCGGAGGATATCTTGACGATATACTCCGGAAAGCCCAATATGCGGAGGATATTGTGACGATATACTCCGCTTGTTGATTTCCCGCCACATTGACTCTATTTGGCATGAAATTAATTTTCAATGATATTATATATTTAGTATGTACTAATAGCAAGTGTAGGATGATAAGGACATCCTATAATTTTTTCAGAATATGATTTTAATCTACTCGGTGATATTGATATATGCAATCGTTCGCTTTGCTCTCTCGTGAAGATATCAATATCACCTCGTAGATAAAAATGATATTCCTAAAAATCATAGGATATCCTATAAATGTATAACAATTGTCCTTTATTAGGTTCAGGACATTGGGATTACCCCGAGGTCAATATAATACTTCTATCCCGTGATACTACTACTTCCCGTAGTATGAATAACACCCGGGAATATTATTGATATTGAAAAAATAGTTTTGTCCCGCCCAATCCCAAAGGACCACGTAGGTTATCGCAAACAATTTCAGAAGGTTATATCTTGGATTATGACTATTTCTGTCAAAGAAGACAGGTTTATCTTTTAGATCAATTCATTATCTCAAAGAAAATTATATACAGTAATAATAAAGTCAAACAAACTCGGAGATATTTAACTAGCAATCAACCCATCAACACACTTTTTCAAAGATGTTGACCCCATTTTCACCAAAAATGCAATCATTTTTTACAATGTTTAATGCATTACTATTCTTTATTTTGATGTATCAAATAGTTCTTGAGAGAAAATTGAAAAATCTCATGCTATCCATTGAAAATTAGGTCAACGTTTTTGAAAAGTATGTTGATTGGGTCCATTGCCCCTTCAATATCACTTAGGTATGATAAACTAAATTATCATTATATATACTTTTCTTGAAGATAATGAATGGATCTAAAAGATACATCTATGTTCATGATCAGAAAGTATTCATAATTCAAGTTAGAATCGTTTGAAATTGTTTGCCATAACCTACGTGCTCCTTTTAGGTAGATATTGCTCTCGACATTGGTATAAGGAATATCCCTTGGATGATATCAATATCCACCCGTGACTGCGTTCCCTCGGGAAATATTGGCATCGTCTTTGTGATATTCCCTATATATTATCCCTCCTGTTGAACAGCTTCTTTTTACAAACCTGCTTTTTGTACCCAAAACACGTCCAAGTATCGGATTTATGTAAAATTCATCTAAATTGATTTGTGGGGAAGCTTAATGTTTGGCTTGAACCAAAATAAATCTTGAATCTTTAACGTATATCTAGATTTTGAATTCCAAATGCGATGAATACAACACGTGATAAATTAATCATATCATATAACAGTAACATTTGATCCAAGAACCTAGATTTAACACATTGCCATTTTACCTGGAGGAATGTTTTTGCACCCGGCGCCTTCGTCTTGAGGTGGATGGACAGGTTGGCGAACAAATATGATAACGATACAGCAATTCCATACCAAACTGGTCCACTTATGCCATACTTAAAAACAAGATTTAGTTGGAATTGCTTATTGATATCTAATGTACTTTTAATTGTTTAATATTTAGGTACATGCACATATATATACCTTGACACCTAAACAGGTTACGAAATGGATCGCCTTGGAGTTTTTCTTTTGCAATGATTTCGCGAGATGTATGCAGAATCACCACGACCTTTTTGGTACAAAAAATGCTCATGCTAATGTTACCCCGTTTTTAAACATCCGCATACGTAACAAAAGTGAGAAATTATATCAATAATTCTCATGAATCCATCTCGTGAACTCATGGAAACAAAAATCGTACCCCCGAGGCCTCGCCATTTTGTTAACTGAGATCCGTTTTGAAGAGTTCCACTAGTGCTGCACTTCGAGTTTATACTGGATGAGCGTGGTGTAAAAGTGGTTTTGAAAAATGGCGTCTTTATATAGATTATTTGTGGTAGATTATTCTGCATTGATTCTGAAAACATTGGTGCCTTGTTTTTCACCGTTTTGGAAATATGCAGATGTATACCCCCTGGTGTGATTTTAAGGGGGGTACTAGGAAAGCCATGTATAATTCTTATAATATACAACCAATCGTCTTGATATTTATAGATAATCATCTACTTATTATGTTATACCAATTTGACAAGTTTCATCAAAGTTGGTGAACTGGTTGCTATGGTAACGGAGATCATATGTTAAAAAATTACACATTTTCGTAAAAATCTAAGACACCCCCTGAGACAAAACACATATTATTTCCATGAATTTTGGAGGAATCACCATGAAAACAGTTTAGAAAACTTATTAAATTATCAGAGAATGTTTGCTGATATTAAATCAACTAATGTTTTATCATAGCCACACAGTGAATTCTATTTGCTGATGGTTATATGGCTATGCAAAGAAATTTAGAAAGGGGACGTGGCACTTTTCCAAAGAATTCTTTATTTGTGTTCACATTTTTGAAGAAAACAAATAACAATTTGTCCTGATATTCACAGATATTATTTAAATTATTATGTTTGGAATCATCCTTGGTCCAAGGGTATTTCTCTTTTTTCTATATTCAGTAAATACTGAATTCAGTAATAAATGAAGTCCTTTGAATGAAGGATGCTAAGAAAATCTTGTTATTGACAGGTAATTATCTACTCATCATGTTCTTACACTATGGCAAGTTTCATAAATGTGGGACAACTGGTTGCTATGGTAGCAGAAATAGAATTTGTTGAAGTACACATTAAGGGGGTACTAGGAAAGCCATATATAATTCCTAGAATATCAAAACAATCATCATGATATTGACAGTAATCAATTGCAAACTACTAATCATGTCCTACCATTATGACGCTTTCATCAATGTGGGTCAAATGTGGGTCAATGTGGGTAGAAGTCATTTGTTAAAAAAGTACACAAGACACAACCTGAGGCATTGGGCACATAAAATTTTCGTCAAATTGGGAGGAATTAGTATGAAAACATTTCAGAAAACTTATTTTGAGTATGTCTGATAATGTTAAATCAATAGATATGTCATCTGGGCCATTTGATGCATTGCATTTGCTTATCATAATAAGACTATACAGAATGTGGCTGTCACATTATGCACATATTTGAGGCTTTACCTAGAGATGTGCTGTAAATGCATTCCAAAAACAAAAAAACGTCAATTGGTGTTATCCTAAATGAATGGACAAAAACCCATTTTTTAAACCAGCTTTTAAAACTGGTTTGAAAGCTCGCCTAATTTCAAAATGGCCACCAATTTTGTCTCACAAAATTCACCTTTGGACACTTTGGTAGCTTTATAAATAATTACAGGTGGCTTACAATGTAAAAATCCATGTCAATATAAAGAGTAGTTGTATAAAATAAATTTGTTACAAAAAATCGCCAAAGAATCATATCCGTTTTTCAGCCATGGTAGTTAATATTGATTTGTCCATCTGTCTCTCAGTCAGTCCACACTAGTGGCACGTTTTAAAACCTCTGTCGATAGGATTCCCGTTTTAAGTTATTTTTGTTCAACATCAATATAGAAAAAACGTATGACTCCTGGTTCAAAAGCTCGCCTATTTTTAAAATGGCCGCCATTTTTGTCTCGCAAA